GTTTCGGTCTATATCCGTCTCTGTATAAATAAATGCATGTGATAAACGACTGTCAACATTCTGATTATTTTATCTGCATGGATAGTGCTTTTTATCGCTTTAAAAGCTTCTGATACTTTGCGACCGTTGAAACAATGAAACGATGTTAAGATCTTCTCTATCGATCAGCCACGTCAATTTAGAAATGAAACACGGAAGGATTCCGAAGAGTTGAACTGTTCCTCCGAAAGGACACGTCTGAAGTTTAGAAGACGGTAACATTAATTCGCAATTAAAGAGAAGACGGTAACATTAATTCGCAATTAAAATTTACGTATAGGCTTGTGTGATGTAACAGTTTCATTGCATTAAAATCTACACAGAGTCAACAGATGACGGCTAATGTTTGGTCATTGTACCATTGGGGTGCACATCTGTCGCGAGACAGCAGAGAAAATAGTCCGCAGTGCCGCCGCGCGATACAGTTAAGCGGCCGAGGTCACCGTTTGTAGCAGCGGTCCAAATCCGGTGCAGATTTGTGTGGGCGCATTGCTACATCATCCTGCATGATGCTAGCGGCTGTCTGCCACCTGTTCCACTTCACGTCATTACAATTGCATCAGCGTAGAACACAATCGTCACTTCTAATTAAATGATTTATGAACTGCAAGCCCTGTTGTCTCCCAACAGGTCGGTAGGGCTAAGAATGTACGTTTTATGTCTTAATGTTGTTAACCATTTAAAGCAGAAATTCATCTTAATGCTATTTAAAAATTAAGCCCGCACCGTAAAGAGAACAGATGCGTCTGTATTTCAAAGAAATAAGGAAATAAAACACTCTTTGCTCTGAGAACCATATGAAACCTACGTGTACACTTTGTGAAAGAATTTACAGTCGTTGATTATTAAAGCAGATGATACGTTTCGTTACCACTGGACTTTCAAACCCGTTGAACAGAGATTAAAGTGTAAATGTACGTACATTCTTCCGAATTTTTCAGTTCCTAAACCCACTAATGGATTTCGGTGTGGAGGATCCACGCTGATGTCATATTTAATTTTGGTTCTTGCCGAACTATTTCTTGCACGAATTTAAATTAAAATACAATAGATTTGTCAAAAATGCTTATCGTGACAAAATGAGAAACATTTCAAAGAAGTTATAGGCCTTTTTTTGTTAAGATATTCTACAGTGTTTGTATCGTTACAATTTTCATAGCTGATGATTATCTCCGTGCGTAATATAAGGACGCGCCAAGCCGTGTTGACAAAGTTCGCAGATTTATTTTTGAAGAAAAGCGCTTCTAGCTTGCCATATACTAAAACACGAAACAACAGTTCTTCACCAGATTTTAAAATCAAACTTAAACTGTTGTTATCCACTCTGTAGTATAATATTTTCTGCACACCAAATGTAATGGACGTGTAGTGCCATAAAGCGGTAGCCAGAAACCAGATTCTGAAAGCTACAAAAAAGAAAACAGTGGGCAGGCATGTAACAAATTTGGAGAGACCTGAAGACAAGAATTCTATTATATTTCTGATGTAACAAACGAAATTTACGTGCTGGTAAAAATTCGATTTGAGCTTCGTTTAGAATCGAAGTATATTCCCATATCGATTCAACATGAAATTGAACAGACAACTTATATGCACACAGCCAATACAAAATGTCGTCTAAATCTGTTCAGCAATTTTTATGACAAAAAATACTGATATATGCTTCCAGTTATTATTTAAGTTCATTAAATTTATGTAAATAATGTGAAAATGTTCTTGTATTATAATGTTTTTTTAAATATAGCTCTGTACATTGATATGTAACGACTAATTTCAAATGTCGCTAAAAACAGCGTGTTAAAAGAGTAATTTAAATGATGGACCTAATTTCGCTCTTTGACATCGCCATTACCTGCATCATGTCCTCTGCTAACTTTTCCACGCATTTAATACCCCAGCTGACGCACGTTACAATTCCGAAAGGTTTACGTAGTCAGCACAAGTAACTGTCATTTGAAACTCGAAGTGTGGACATTTGCCCCTATCTGCAGTTACCGTTAAAATAAAGTACTTCCATTGTGAAAGCATCTGCGCTACTCAACGACGTAAAACATTATAGCATTTGACTGAAGACGATTTCCATTACAGTCTGAACTTAATGTAAGAATTTCACATTTAATTTCCGATACACAATATTCATTACTTTTACAGATAACCCCATTAGATTCTTACGTTTCAGTTAAAATTCATTTATCCTGCACTACAGTAGGTCCATGATAACTTTCTTTTTAAATTGTTGTTTCCTCATTCCATACGTGGCCACAATAAAGACATCTCGGACAAATTTAGCTCATTCACAAAGACGTAATAAATTAGTCTTCAACCTCTTGTCATCTAACTGGTTCATTACGTCACTATTACAGAATATTATTACATCATTCTCTTAAATTATTTATTCACTTCTTAGCTCTACAGCCCTTGAAGGACCTCACATTTGGGAAATTTCTCAATCTATTTACACATTCGGTAGGACTCCTTGGACGAGTGATTAGCCCAACGCAAAGGCGCTACCTCTTTATTCACGTGTGGTGAACCTTCACGCGCCGCAACTACGTGGTTTTAAGAGAACTGAGAATATACGCGTGCAGATCGTGACCCTGTCTGTGTACGCAGCCACTGGAAGCGAAGAAAAACGATATTATTGGGTTGTTCGAACGCAACGATACCTATCTAGGGTCAACTCCACGTGTGGGTATAATATTCGTTTTCCTTTGATCTGTGCCGTCGTCAACTGACTATCCGCATAGGCTTTTAAGTGCGTTCGCGACTGAAAGTTGCAAAAATTTTGCCCCATTTGTGTGTTTGCTCGCATGTGACAACTCAAGAAAGGCTGGATGGATTTTCGGGGAGTATCGTTACAGTTTGCTAACATATTTAGAATTTTGGTTAAAATCGGACATCAGTAACAGGCACTTTGCATGAAGACGTAGAAGTGTTCCTGAATTCTGAAGAGATTAGGTGGGAAATCCTTGGCTACATTGACTTAACATAATGATCATCATTACCATGCATCCTCCGTGAACCCTGGTTACTCTGGATATATCCAACCATTCAAATAACTCTGATGTCACTGACGCCATTTTAAAAAGTTAAGTTCTGGCAAAGGTGCTAGAATGTATACACTCTCAAGATCCATTCTGAATAAGTCAAGCATCACGTGTACATGTCCCAGCTTTTGGACGATTGCGCAGATCATGTAGCATATATTGTGATCCGATTTCAGAAGTACTTCATCTATCAGCTGAGCCAGATTTTCGAGACATCACATTGCGATGGGAGTACGAGCCACAAGCTCCCGAGCTGTATGGCTTTCAAGTACATTACTGTGAGCTGCAAGCATGGGGTCCTCACCGGTGTCGCTCCAAGGTAAAATTTTTAAGTAGAGGGTCTCTTAGCAAGTAACATTGAACAAAAGATGATAAAATTCCATCATATGAAACCCAAAGATTCTTCTGTGATCACACTATACTCTTCCTTTATACATATTAATCCAGTTCACAATCTTTGCAATGTCTTTCTGCACGTTAAAAGTAACCAACTACCTTTCCTACAAGACAAGTAAACGTCAGAGATGAAGCCCCTAACTTAGGATAGAGAGTATGATAATGTGCTGCTTGGTCATATACTTCATGGGGTAGTGATAGATGAGTATGGAATAATGCTGAGAAAGACTGAAAACTTGGAGAAAAGTCTTTTACAGTGCCAGTTTGTCCACCACAGATTTTACTTGACCCAGGTCTCTGGTGAAATTAATGTCCAACTGCATGAGCTGTGGCAGAACTTGTTTCTGAAAAATCAATTCTAATGTTATTTTCTCATCTGTCTTCATGTTCAGTGGCATCCAGGGTTTAATCTTACTATGTACTGACAGTGTATGAAAAGTTCAAATTATGAATCTCCTCAAGTAAGGTAAAAGATATCTGCAAGATAGAAACCAAACAAATTTGTCATACTTTCATTTGTTTTTATTTCTTTCATAGTTACTGTAGTGTAACAAAAATACACGTGAATTTGAAATATTATGTTTGTAGCTGATTGATGATTCACTGGGCCATGAGGTTCTGTCTGGGAATGCCAAGTACCGCATGTACTCGGTCATCATAAGTGGTCTTCGGATGTCAACTGACTACTCATTTGATGTGTGGCCTGTTGAGTCAAGCAACAGAGAAGTTCATGGTAGTGGCATCAAGTCACTCCACAACAGCATTGTAGTGTCGACCAGAGGCTGTAAGTGTCAAAACAGCAATATTCAATTTAATAAGTGGTTGTATGTGATTATTCACAAGAACAAAAATCGTACATAGTAATATTGAAATAACTGAGTTCATGGAGCAGAGCCATTTTTAGTCTGCTGCATTCTTTTTAGAGATTTATTAGCCAACTCTATACAGTATTTTTATGTTTTTTACAATTTAATCATGTGACATGAACATATAATTAGCTTTCTCTGCATTTACTTTTAGATACACTCTGCATTAATGTATTTAAAGAACAGGGATAAAATTTACAATATCATAACTACAATTTTCATTTCACCGCTTCCTACTTCCAGTTAATATCCTGAGAAATGTGCAGTTTCAGCACGTGCAACACAATGCTTACCTCATGCAAGTGAGGTGGAGGTAGCTACAGGTCCGCACTTCGGAGGCCGCATCGCTGTCGAGGCTGCTGATGGGGAACACTGTGCCATAGATGGTGATCCTGAGAGTCCTAGAGACACCTACATATTACGCATAGACCACAAGATGTGTGGCACATAAGTCAATGAAACCACTGCGGCCACATTTGTGCTGGTGCAGGAGAATCTGCCCATCCTCACGCACAGCACACGACGGTTCCTGGTACTCTGCTCCTTTCATCCAGAAACTTTAACAGTCAGAGCAGGGTGAGTATAACACATATTTGTTTCTGAAAGTATACACAGACTATTGTTTCCCATGTTTTGGTGGGCAGAACATGACTTCCAAAAGTAATTCCACTGCTATGCTAGAATTAAAAGCAAAATGTTCAGGCTTAATCTCCACCCATACTACATTCCACAGGGGTGTTGTTAAACAAGGGCAGTCTAAGATACTTTTCCAGCGCATTTCAAAATAAAGATACAATGTTAACATTTCAGTATGTTGGATTTGAAATCAGTGCACATATGTCATTGTTCTTGTTTGTCAATGGATTTTTCATTAATTTCCTTTACATGTCTTCTAACACGGTTCTTAAAACTACATAAATAGATGATAATACAGCTTATGTGTCTTAATGTATTTCACTTTAAAACTAGTGCTATGTTTTTTTTATTTGAAAACACATAATTTTTAAGTCCTGAAATAAGTAATATCCTCACTGAAGAGATTCAAATGTTTGGTGCTTAAATTAAATTTCTTTCTGATAGAAACCAAATTTCGAATGGAGGAAATTTTATTAAGAATAATGCAGTAGAACTATGCACATCTTTCGACACCTATGCATAAAGGAGCAAATCAAATCCCAAATAACTTGGTGCCATTCGTTTCTACAACCTCTTCAATTACATGAGGTTCAGATTTAACATAATTTAACATCTTCTTCTTCTTCTTCTATGGCTCTCCGGTCCGTATTCGGTCCATGGCCTCCTCAATTCCCCCCTTCCATCTGGTCCTCTGTTAGATCCATCTGTCCGAGGCTTTGATTTAGGTTTCGAAACATCTTCCTTTTTGTGGTGCAAGGTTGTTAGCCTTGTGACCAACCCCCAACCTGGAGGACCAGTGTATCTGTCTTAGTCTGACCTCTGCCCCACGACCGATCTGGCTAGGGAGGCCATACCAGTAGCTATGCTACTGCCAGCATAGCTCTTGGGATCACTGAGGCACTCAAGCCCCACCACCATGACAAGGTGCAGGTACCATTAAGTGAGGATAATTTAACATATATAACAACAATTCATCATTAAAAGTGGATGTGTGAACTAGCCGTTCCATTCAGGTTTACAAGCAAAATTTTGTGAATGATATATATCATTCTGAAAATCAACAAATCAAGGTTCAATTTAGATTATTTATAACAGAAAAGACCCCAACAGTGCAGAGCAGGAATAATTGTTACAACATATGTATACCTCAGAAGAGGAATTAGGTTTTAGGTACAAAAAAGTTTTTGTGCTTCACAGTATCAACCTACCATCACATCGTCATCACGAAGACCCTAGTAATAACAACAGAGTAGAGCATTTACAACCTGAAGTGATGGCTTTTGAGGCCGAAAATGCAGAGTCAGTTAATGACGTTCAAGTTTCTCATTTGCAGCGTCACCAACAGATGGTTGAAGCACACATGGGAAGAATGCTACAAGGTAAGAAACTGTTGCAGTTAAGCTACTGTAGTCACATGCCAGATTTACAGCAGCTGTTCATTATGAAAATCTTTTGAATACAGACTTCAAATTTATGTCAGTTATGCAAGATTCTTATGCATGAACCTCAAAATTAATTCCATATTTCAGTACAGTATTTGCTGACTCATAAGAACTGATCATTGCCTCAATACTAGGTTTCATTATTATACTACTGTCACCAGGTCTCCAAATACAGTTTAGGAAATGGGTAAAACACTAGAACAGGATGTTGTCATTAAAGGTACAACAGGCTTAAGATGCACCATATCTTTTGTCTACTGCAGCTGTTATGAGAGATGTCAGTCTCATATTCCCAGGGCTATAAATTATCTCCATTACATGTAAACATCACATTAATAAAGTTAAATATTAGTCTCATAGTTGATCACTAAAAAGTTTGGTCTTGAGAAATGAAGTTGCAGTGTCCAGCCAGCCATGTCAGCCACTGGGCTGTCAACATTTGACAATTTTCACTGCCACACACCACCACTGACATCAACATATCATTAGTGCCAGAGTGGGGGAGTGTAAGCCAATGATCATAAGTTTCCAAGAAGTAAAGAATAGTTTTCAGAAAGTTGTCACAGATGTGGTTCACTGATTTTATTCAAAAATGTATAACACAATTTAGACATGAGCTTATGGATGAAGTGATAGTTTTGATAACATAAAAGTATAGTACCAGACTGCTTATATAAAAGGCTTGGGAACTATGGCTTTTCAGATTTTCTTTATTTTTGAATTTAATTTCTTCACATATCATTTCTTTAGCATAAATCAACAAATCATACACAAACAGAAAGAAACTCATCTTCATCATCAAACAATGTGTAAAAGCCTACAATGTATGACATCCAATGGTTAAACAAGTGCAAGCAAGCAAGCTGCAATTTACTACCAAAAAAGAAGACTGTCAAAATTGGTGTCACTCTCATGTGGGTAGTTGAAGAACTGCAAAGTACCAGTTATAAGCATGACAAGTGCATGAAAATGCTACCATAAAAATTCTCCAAGAGAAAATATGGATTTTAGGTCCTTCATGATTTTGGGATGTCAGATACAGGGCCCAACACTATAATAAGAAGTATAAAGCAGTAATCACTTTCTAGTTTTAATTTTTGGACCACTTTCCACTATCATAGCAGTTGAAAGTGGTAATGTTTGAAAATAACAAAAAAAAATCCTAATTAGCAGAAAACTGCTCAGCATAGATACTTCCTCAGACCAAAATAATAGCTTGGTTGCTTGAATTAGACAGTTATCATTATTGCATGTCTCCAGACTTGGTTCGAGTCTTCTATGGGCTTGACTGAGTGAGCACCAAAAAATCACCTTGTGCATCTGTCTTCCTGTATGTACATAAATTGAGAACAGCTGGACAGACATTCATGAAATTTGACATCATGTAGTTTTACAAAAATTTATGAAGTCATTTTCGATTTTTGTTGAAACCAACCAATAAGAATTTTTTTTAAATTAATCACAAATTTCTAAAACTGCTACATTTTAGTTCCATATTTGACAATCATGTTTGGTATTATTCTAGTTCAAGTACACATGATCAGTCAGTGCCTCTTCAGCAAGCAGTTCCAACAATAACAGGAATACCACGTGTGATGGACAAAATCGTCTTCTAATAGTCAGGCAGACAAGTGTGACCACTTCCTAGCATTCCCAATTTATGTAATTCTTCCTCTTGACTTTCCCATTTGTTATCACTCTCTGTTAAGGGAGGGATCAGATCATCCGTCAGTTGCCATCTTTCCATGTCTGGCATAATTTATCACATTTAATTTAAAGTATACAGCACACAAAACCTCTTATGCCTTGTTCTTAAGGTTGTAAATACAAACACTGTCACTGTATGCCTAAGCTTGAAATTGGGCTATAGTTCCTCTGACACTTCTGGTGAATATTTTAAAAGTGTATGGAAGGTTCATGACAGGATTTAGATGACAGTTGAGAAAAATTTGTCATATCATGCCTCACATATGAGCCGGGATAGCTCAGTCAGTATAGTGACTAGCTACGGGCTGGATGACCGGGGTTTGATCCCTGACGGGGGCAGAGGATTTTTCCTCTAGCCTCTGCATCCAGACCGGCTCTGGGGCCCACCCAGCCTCCTCTCCAATGGGTACCGGGGTCCTTTCCCGGGGGTAAAGCCGGCCGGGGCGTGATGCTGACCACTCACCCCCATCTAGTGCCGAGGTCAAGGAAGAGAGAAGCTATACCTCCTCTCACCCTAAACGCCTACATGGCATATAGTGGGACAAACTTTACTTTACTTTACTTTACATAACATATCATGCCTCACATATAAACAGATCACACAGCATCTGCAGCAATAGGAAGTTCTCAAAAGGGCCACTTTACTGTAGATAATACCAGTTGTTTTGTATGTTGTCCTGCTATAGCTATAAACCATAAACTGCAAAGGAGTTTTGTGGATAATTTTTTAGGGTACAAGGTCTCATAATTGAGTACAAAATATATAACTGCCTACAAACCAAAAGAGGCCACCATAGTCAAATATGTTCCTGGGATTAAGGAAGAGGTAAAAACTGATTATACGGTTGCCTATCATGATATTACCTTATAACATTTCTACCTTTTAAAATGTATAACATCACTGATCAGAGCACTCTCCTCAATATACCACACACACTAGGAACTGATGCCCTGGGAAGATGAGATTTTAGGACATACAATATACAGAAATTTGAATTTCATAGCAACACATTTTTATATAAAAATCTATTAACAGAGAAGTAGAAACTTCGGGACACTTCATAAATAACCATCTTGTATATAATGCAGTTAGGCAAGCATGAATGTATGTTAGTGAGTTTATATTTTGTACTGCCAACCACAGGGGGTATAAAATGAATCTACAGACTGTGTTACTGCCTAGATGTGTAACAGACAGATTTAATGTGTTAAAAAATTTGTTATTACATAAGAAGAACCCAGTTTAACATTGATTTTACTGGTTTCCAACAGTAGTGTACTTTGAAGTCATTCATATTTCTGCCCAAATTCTGCAAACATTTATCTGTCACTGGCCACTTACAAAGGAGAGCTGAAATATACATCAATAATTTATTCCTCTGTAGTTTCTCAATGTTAACCTTACTTCCATTTTCTGTCTTCTTTCAAATTTATGGCCTATGGTGGTTATAGATATTTCATGGCATTATTTAAGTGTTTCTACAGTTCATTCTACGAAAACATTCTTTTTGAACTGAATGAGATCATCCCTTATGTATATTAAAGTATTTTAGAAATCTTTCCTTAACAAATTAAAATGACAAAACCCTAATGTTTGTCAGAACAAATCAAATTGGACACAGCCTACTACAGTTTATCTTTACAGACCAGAGTGTGATGCATTTGGGACTGATGATAATCCTAGTGGTGGGAGGTGTGATTGGCTGTGCACTCACTGCCTGGTGGCTCATCCCCAGTTTACGCAAACATATCCCAGGTTTGTAAAAGTAAATAAGATATATTTTGTCAAAGAAAGCTAAGTGTTTATTGTAATACAAACAACTGTCACTGCTTCTTTCCGTATGCTGTAAAAAATCACTACATTCCTCCTGTGAGGAGGATTGTAGTGATTACTCCTTATTATGTAGTTGTTACATTACTCAAGTGAAGTCAGATCCTGATTTAACCAATACACTGAAGAGGGTTTTAAATAGGTTTTCCAAGTTTTGAGAGTCAAAACCCATGCACTTCATAAATTAAAAACACTTTCCACAGACTTTTTTTTCCCCAACAGGTTTCTGACCTGCTTTGAATTTTCATTCAGTGCATTATAGAAAAAGTCTGTTGACTGAAATGTACTTGGTACAGATTCTGAAATTTCCTCAATTGAAGCTTCATTTCAGTGAATCTAATAACTTAAAATAACAAGCTGAATTTACCGTAGCTTAGTCATGTACCGCCGCCACGGTGGTCTAGCGGTCAGAACACTAGCCTTGTAATCCTGGGGTCCTGGGTTCAATTCCCACTGGTGCTCAGATTTATAACTTGTGTTGGGCAAGGCCGTGGTCTAGGCATCACGGAGTTTTCCTTCGGGGGTTTCCCCGGTTTCTCCATGGCATCCCAACAATTACTCCATTCACACACAGAAGAAGGCAATGGCAAACCACTTCTGGATCATCTGCCAAGAACGTATATGAACAGGTTCCAGTCCGAGAAAAGGATGGAAGGATCCTGTTCATATGGACCTGTCGTCAGACAGAACACTAAAAAAAAAAGGCATGTACCATTGCAGTTATTTTTCATAAATGTTTTACTGCTGATGTCATGAACCGATATAAAGTTTCTTAAATATTACATAATGCAACACTATCATTTAGTAACTACTACTGTTACAAAATACTTTATTTTAACTTAGCTTGTGTGTAGTTATAAGATTAAGAACCCCATTCTTGAAATGTGACATTTAAAGAAGAATTAATTCTGACCCTAATACAGGTCATCGTGCATCAACAGATGATTCTTCCTCAGTCTCCATATATGAAAACTTTGAGAACTCACTGCGAGATTCCAATGTGAGTGATACAGATTTTGAAGGATCTATTGATGAAGCAGGAAGTGGAGACTGTGATACTGCAGCTATAGTAATTCAAGAGCAGGGACAGAGTGAAACAGAATGTTCACACAGTAACAACTTTAAAGAAGATTATTCTGGAGTTTTTACAATCAGAATTCCTACACATCACTTAATTCAAGAGGAGCCTCCATGTATCATGATTGAAACTAACTCACACTCAGAAGCCTGATAATCTTCAAATTTGCAAAATACATGAACAATTTGTTTATTTATTTAAACAAACTTTTAGTTCACCTTGCACCTCATGACAATACTTACAAAAAATCTTCTTTGCACAATTACAGCAGTAAAGTCTGATAATTTTGCTTGTTAATCAGCCTGAGTGTGAAATGTACATTTAGCCAAGTTATGCATAAATGCTGACATCTGCATTGTAGTGTGGAAGCAAGCTCTTGGAAAAATACACTGGAATGAAACTTTCATTCAGAATTATCAAATGTTTTAAATACAAGACACTTCATTGACTGAACAAATTCAGAAAGTCTGAGAGCAGAATTGGAAGCCAAGTGCTCTAAAAACAGGGATCTAGAACACAGCAACCGGGAATAGACAAAGCTGTGTAACTGATGATGTGTGGCAAATTGGAATAGGAAGTGAGAGATTACAACTACAATTATGATATGTACATTTACATATTTGCAAGAACAAAGTTTATTGATGTTTTGAATACATTATTTTAAGGGAATACAAATGTAAACGTAATGAATTCAGGATTTTATTAATACACAACTCATTTCATTGCAACTTGTTGCTCTACCATCTACAGGTATAAGAATATTAGGAGTACAGCGCTTCTAACTTAAACTCACTCTGACAGGTCATTTTCTGCCTGTCATTACAAAGTTTGAATTAAGGGATTTTTCTGAAAAAGTAAATAACAATGACCTATTTACTCAAAATTGCAATGCCTCCGTAACAATCAACTCCTTGTAGAGGGCACAATTTGTCCTACTTCAAGGACACTGTTATGCATAATACGAATGATCAACAAAACAAAGTCGTTCATATGACCGTTCTAATAGGAGACTAGTGGAAAGAAAGTGTAGTGGTGTGTTCAAGAGCCATAAGACCACACACCCACTAAGATCAGCCAGTAAACTGATGAAGCAAATTCTGAGTGGTACAAATACATACTGTGTAGATATATACAGTATAACTACAATTTTTTAAACTAAGTAAAATAATAACCATGGAAGTACCTACTTCAGCCTCATCCACGCTTCCACAAACAAATTACTTTTTTCAGTTGAAACTGCCACTACCACCACCACACTACGGCATACAATTGTCCACATCCGCAATAAAATTACAGTAAATTTAATGTACTGTATCATATTCAGTTTCTAAAAATGTTGGCACTTTCTGCATTGTTTTATAAAATCATGCTTACTATAAATATAAATGGCCTTAAATTAATTTGTAAAAACAATATTAAGGCATAGTTGTTTGTATGAAGTTCTTGCACAATGTTACCCAATATTAACATACAATTTAAACTGCAAATTTCTGTACTGTTTCTCAATACAGTACTTGAAACAACAGGATAGTTGGGCTGAACACATACACTATAATAAAATAATTTGTACAAATCAACACTAACAAAAACATCATTATATTTATATGCTGTAGGATTCTCAGTATGTATCTATATTCTGTATTAGAAGTCTTCTACTTTTACTGCTTACAAATTTATTAGTATAGGTTTACTTGTACACTTACATACAATGCACCACTTATTTAGAGAGCACACAAGAAATTATTTACATATAATTCTATCCTCTGATGTTTATTTTAACAGTAACACCTCACCAAGACCAATTCATTTTATTTGAATTTCAAAACTACCTGACTTATTTTTGGAGAAGGTAGTATTTTATCTTTTAAATGTTCATCGAAAATCCCTTTTATTGTTCATCTATTTGAGAGAAAATAATTAAATAAAATATTAATTAGTGGACCCAGTCAAAAGTTAGACTGGAACATAATTTCCAAGTATTGCATTAAGTTTAAGTGATGACCTGAAATGATCAATATAGTGACAAATATTACATTTAATAAAAATGACATAATTTCATTACATATTGAAGAATTCAAATAAAAACAAATGGTTGCAATTATAATTATGACCAGTACATGCTACATGTATTATTAAAATGGAACAAAATACTGTTGCTAATTGAGACTGTGATAAAACCACCACTCCTCTCGAAGGACAGGAAGACTCTCTTAATAAAGGTGAACACACAACTCAAACATAGTAACTCTAACCTCTTAGCAAGCAACAAAATCTCCATTTCCCAGGATACATCCATCATCTGAGCTCAGTCTTCTGGACATCCTTAAACTCAAAAGGCATCAACTGAACTTTGTAGTTTGGTTTCACCTATAGAATTTTTCATCTTCTCACCCATGTAACTTAATAGAATATGAAAAGATGTCAAGTCATACAGTTCATGCTGAAATAACATTAGAACATCTAGCAACATTATGACTCTGCTGGGACTAGCAGTCACTGACTAGCTATAGAAGTAAAGCAACTGGGTGTCATTATATTATAAAAGAATCTGTGTGACAGCACATCTGTACTTCATGACATAGCCAACTGGGAACATCTTTCAGAACATATCGAGAAGTCAGCCCACTGTCTGTTGTGTGACAGTCCCCCAAGGGTAGAAAGCAGCAGGCACTGATGACTCTTGGTACAGTAATTCTCTAGATCCTAGTGCAGCTAATATACCATGGATCAAGATGATGCTACATGCTTACCAAATGAGTCTTTGCTAGTGGAAGCACACCATCTTTTGCTTTAAATGCATATGGGGACAAAATGCCCAGTGATGGAGGTAGAACAGATAAAGACTTTCTATGGCACTGACCAGTATCCAGTTACAAAACAATCTACTCATGTGCTGGGACAGAGATAAAAGCTCCTAACTTGGGACTGAAGGTATAATAATGTGCTGCTTGGTCAGAGATAACACTCTTCAAAGGGCAGCATGATGAGTATGGAGCAACAGTGGAATGACCATCAGCAGATAACCAAAGACCTGGGATAGAAACCTGTTCCAGAGGACTGAACCTAGGTTTCTGCAGTGAGAAGTCAGTCAGCAACCATGTGAACTATGGCGTGGTCCATCACCATTATATTTGTAAAATTTGCCTTGGTATTAGGACAGGAGTAAACAAGGTATGTTCTTTTCTCAAGTGGCTTCAAAACCATTGCTTATACATAATACATTTTAGTTACATTAGTAAAATTTGTAATCAAGATTGCATTGGTATTAGGACAGGAGTAAACAAGGTATGTTCTTTTCTCTAATCGCTTCAAAAACATTGCATCTTTCTAAGTAAGCTTCTACAAAACTACAGTACTCTACTGCCAGGTGTGTGATGTATGATTTCTTCTTATAATTACAAATGACACAGGGCAAATTGTATGAGGTAAAAAGAAACAAGCTCCATGCACCTGAATCAATTAAACCAAATCACAAGATTCAAACATTGACATATTCAGACTGCAAAACTATTACCAAACATTGGATGCAATATCCAGAGTTAAGTCAAACAGCTTAAAATTGCATGTGCATTCTTAGTGATCCTTACTGGGATTTATAACCATATAAACATTAGTTAATTTTAGAGCACATTTAATGTTGCCTATATTCTCACAGTCATTAGTTTAGACTTTTTGTGGTTTAGAAAGAGTTTGGTTACCAAATATCAAGTACTTCACTTTGAGGGAAGAATGCAAACTGAAGGTATGTGAAAACAAAATACTTTAAAAAATTGATTTATACTTATACCCAAGTAGAGTTATTCCATTTAAATAGTGTTGAGGCTGTGCACAGTTTTGATGAGGGAAATAAGAACAGACAATTGGTAGTAAATAACCTTAAAGCAGTTTACAGCTCTCTGCTGATAATTCATGTAATACTGACATTTTTATCAAAAAAGAGAGCAAAGCTATAACTCAGATATCTGCACAAAAGGGGCAAAACATTAATGTAAAATCCCATATCATCCATTAGATATAATACTAACTGATAACAATTAACATATCAAGCATAACCACTTATTTTATAAGACAGTAACGTTAACGTTTGTCCCACTATACGCCATGTAATTAAAATTTTAAGGTTTAACAAATTCTTTTAACAATCCTTTAAGCTTTAATAAGATTGCAGTGCATATGGAAGAGGTTTTATTATCCATATACAATTCAACCCACCAATGAATCCACCTACTGTAGTGCGTTCAGCAAGTAAACTAGCCAGGTAGTCAATCAATCAAACATAACCAAATTCATTCCTGATTATCATACAATTTACAACTGTTTTCACATACATGTAATAAATCATCACTGAAGGAAGTGCTGATGATACTTGGTTTCTACAGTATTGTCTGCATATTATGAAAACTATGAGCTACAAGCCTGACAAATTGCTTTTGCAGTGAAATGAATTTCCCAGACTTTAGAATATAACATTTTAATATCTACCTTGTCATTTTTTAATTGTTCATAGTAAGACATTTTACCATTATCTGGAGGCAAGTTTTTCACATTTTTACAATTTATAAAAACATGAAATTCTGTGAACGTACAAATATTTGCAAGGGTCAGACTGAAACAAACTTACATGATAGTATTTAATTATATTTTCAGTAGTGAGACAAAACATTACTCTATTACATGCTGGTATGGAGGCTGGTATAAAATTAAAAGTAGAGAAGTCATGTATTGTCACCAAAATCCAGAACAGAATCATAATAAAATAAGTAGCAAATAAATCCTTGGAAAATGTGGCATATTACAAATTACATGGACAGATCAAAATCAAATTCAAAAAAGAAATTAAGGGTGGATTACATATGGAATTTTTGTCTTCATGTGTATTCAAATATATGAAAATTGAAATATGCTAACTGTAATTTTAACTGTTAATTTTTATGTAGTATCTTACTTTATGGAAAATGACACAAAGAACTTACAGCAAAAGCATAACAGGATAAAAGTCTCATAATGAGGAGCTTCATAATATGTACTCCTTCTCAAATATTATTATGGTCATCAAATCAAGGATTATGAAATGGATGACGCATGTAAAGGCATGGAAAAATGTGTACACATGGGATTTTGATCACAAAACCTGACAGGAAGAGACCACTTGTTAGATGTCTTGGGCAATTCTACATTTTGAAACAACATAAAGGAAATCATACATAAGCTACCATTTTTTTAAATTTTTGGCCACAATTTTCCATGTGTGATACATGAGTAGATGAGAGTATTTGTATAGGATTCAAAGCATCCATTCTTCCTTTTACAGTCAAGTAAACATGATATATAGTGATATGTCTAATATGAATATTGAATGCTTATCCAAACACTACTCCTACTGCAGCATCCAAATTATGGAGGATAATAAACATTTTATGACCAAATTTTCAGGCTAACAGAATTCAAAGCTACATTAGGCAAGAGGAACACTCAGAGGTATATATCATATCTAGTCTGGATTCCATAAAACTCTCCTGAAGCTCTACTTTCAGTAGGGATAAGTAAGATTTGAATTGTGGTATTCATGGATTTTTCTGGATTGATGCCATAAACTTGTAGGGGTTACCAACAAGAATAAAGTGCCACAACCTAGATGACCACAACCCACAAGTATCACAGGCTCCAAGCACCAGTGTACAACTGTTGTGTTAGATCACAAACTCTTTTATGGGGTTCAGCATGCTGTGATATGACTAGCCATCAAATACCAGTACAAAGGCAGTTTTGTAAGTGTTGGGAGAAAAACGTACATACATACATACATCTTTATTAAATTCCATGGATCCATAAGTTAGTCAAATGACAATAGGATGTAGAATAAGTCATAATAATACAATACATGTTATACAAATACAAATCATACTATTATATAAATGTCACAAAATACAAACAAAAGGTTCACATAAAGTAGAGATAAGTTACAAATAAATCCACCCATTATATACAATAGATAAATTATGACTTACTTGTAAACATTAGAAACTCATCGACAGAGTAAAAGGAGTAAAGGAGTATAAGTATCTTTTTAATGCTGGTTTAAATTATGCCTTTTTATTTACAAGACTTGTGAGATTTGATGGTAGACTGTTGAAAATTTTAATCCCTGCATAATATGCACTCTTCTGAAAACATGAGAGGTTGGAAATTGGTGTATGAAGCTGATTTTTATTCCTTTTCAGCATCATCCTGTATGTATGTTATAACAATAAAACTCAACATAACCATAAGGGGCTGAAACAAGCTGATAAGATTGATATAATATTACAGTTCCACTGCAGTAATTGGAAAACAAACACCTATGAAGAAACATACAAAAAGTTGATGAACATTGTTTAATAATAAGTGAAGCAGCTGCATCAAAGTGTCTGTCCAACTTTATGAACCTTTTCAATGAAGAGTTCACTGAAAATGTCAACATCAGAATAACCTGTATAAGACGAAGACAATAAGGCTACTTTGGTGGTATTCTGACATTGCATGCAACATACATGATGAACACTGGTTTTGAATTTCATCACCATCTTCGTACAATCTAGCAAAGCCCATGATGATAACCTGGGAAAAGTTTGTACATTATAGAAGACAGAGTTTCATTCACAGTGATTTTGTAATTTTATCCAAGATCATGCTGGCAACACGGACAAGTGTAAACCTCAGCTGAAAATGATCTTTGCAAACAACGTCTCAATCCGAGGCTGTATTGTTATTGTCATTAGTATGTAATACTGTTATTTAAGTAAGATTCATAGAGTGCGTGATCTTTCCCATTGATACCATACAATTTAAGTTTAAATAACAAAATGTCATGCTCAACACAATCAAAAGCTTTTTCTAAATCACAGAAAATGCCTCCCACTATTTGTTTGTTATTCATGGCATTTAAAATCTCTGTAGTCAATTTATAGATTGCATTATCTGTTTTTAATCCTTTCCTAAATCCATATTGTTCAATACTTAAAATATTGTATTTATTGAGATGATCCAAAATTCTTGAGTACATTATAGTTTCAAATATTTTTGAAAAAGATGTTAAAAGTGATATAGGTCTATAATTAGACACATCATGTATGCAATGTATTTCTGTTTCCCACCTTTCGGGTACTGACTACAAAAATTCCATAACTTTGTGTTGATATCATGCTCAATCAGCTTCTTTAAAATGTTATCTAACTTAAATTCCACAACCTTGGTTCTCAAAAATTACTAGGACTTAGCGCGACAAACTACGCATGCCCTCAGTAAATCACAGAAAGCTTAATCACAAAGATGATCAGGGTATCATCATCAGCACCAAAACAAGTATTGGTTTTCCTACATTAGTGCACCGCGGAGAACTTTGGGTTATTACGTGACGATCTATTAAAAGACTACGCTATCTTGGCATGTCAGTTATAGTCGCATTCTTTGTACATGCTGCAGACGCGACAGTCGTAATAAATCAAATGTGCACCTCTGTTTGTAGTGCACATATTGTATGCTTTTCAATAGCATACCGTATTTATGTACAATCTACCCTAAACCCAAGGTTAAAATCCCGAGAAGTGGGGAGTAGTAGTAGTAGTAATTCTTATTACCGACTGAACAAAGCTACCGAAGCTGAAATAGTTCCGCTCCACTAGAAGATGGTAGCACAGTTAAGGTATGTTTCCCTTTTGCAGCATATCTGTGGATCAGTTTTTTTTGTTGTAGCTTGTCATAGAGGTTATCTGTTACAGGTGATTTATGGTCTGTGATTTGTCTTGTGTAGCACATCTGCTGTCTTGCAGTGGGAGGCGGATGCGTTTCATAAATTAAGATAGTACGTATACTGAAGAGGACTGTTATTGGTCTTTGGTCTGCTGTTTCGTTTTGTTTGTTTTATACAATGGACGGAGAATTTAATAACGATTCAGAAAATATAATTTCTTCATCTGAAGAAGGCGTAGAACTGACAGGATGTGCTGCCAAGCCTTGCTGCAACCCAAGTCATGGGCTGCATCGGTTTATGGCCCTGTTATTTATGTGCCTGCTGGGGTTTGGTGAGTACATGTGTGACAAGTGTAAGTGCGTTCTTATTCATCTGTCGCTTGCAGCACATGGTGTACTTAATATCTCATTTACATAGTAAGACGAGGAAGTGCTGGCAGTAGTTCAGATATTTAATGTACAAATGAATTAAGTAGGATCACAACATACTTGTATTATCAGGGTCAAAAGACACTTTTGATAACATTAAAACTAACTGACTGTCTGCTAAATTCGAATTTTGGTTAGGTGTTTTGGCAGCAGAATTACATTACTGCATATTGTTGGAAGGTGTTCGATAGGGGGAAAATTATTAAATAGTGTGAATGTATCGTGATTTGTTAATCCTGGGTGTGATGATACGTAACTATGAATAGAAACATTGCATATGTGTTTGGAGTTGATGCCTTTGCTTCGATCTGTGTTGTTATGTTATGTTTGTCAAAGATAAAGTACCCATATAGCACAGAGGCCGGGGACAAAATGGCTCAGTAGGCACACTTTTGATGAAGAGGAAGAAGGGAGCATGTATGTAATTTTCAGACAGAGTTCCGTGAAGATTTTTCACAAATAGCAACTTGTGCTTTGTAATGTTTTGATTGAAAGAATCCCAATGATTGAAGTGAAGGTGGAACGATACTTCATGGTATAGTGGCCACATGTACTTGTTTATAAATTTTAGATTTATTTACAATTACAAGCGCAAATAAACCATTTTAACTTAGATTCTTGTAATCTTGCATTGAATTTAACTTTTATCTAAGGGACCAGTGACAGGGATATGTTTTGATCATAACAATAGGAAATTTATTAACTAGGTGAACAGCTTGCTTCGGCTTGAGGAACACATATTTTGGATTGATTGAGTGTAAGAGCCATAAGTTGGTTTATCTTATAAAAATGATGCCTTACAGTAAAACTATATATTGTTTAATGTATGAAGTTGGACATTTTCATAAATACAATTTAATATTTGTTCTTTTGATATGTGGTCTGTATTCTAGGGTTGTATTTTTGCTGTGAAAACCCAGGAGCTATGAGGGAAATTTTCTTAAGTGATATGGTCCTGACATCTGTCTGTTTGTATTCATAGACAAATTTTATCCCATGTTTTGTTATATATTCTAGGATCATATTTCTGCTATGACAACCCAGGAGCTCTGCAGGACAATTTTATAAGTGACATGGATCTGACAACATCCGAGTTTGTCTACTTGTATTCATGGTATTCATGGCCAAATGTTGTCCTATGTTTCGTTGGTGGTTTCTTGATTGACAGGTAAGCATGTGATGTAGCTATAAGGTGTCTAAAGCTATAGCATACTAGTGAAATGTCTAAGTAAATTGCCAACATGGTAAATTTCTGAATGTTGTTGTCTCTTTTCATGTTACAGCATTATTGTCTTTTGTTGGATGGAATAATTTCAGTGACAAACTCTGTGTTATGGAACTGAACTTTCACCGTGCCCCATAATGCAAGTTGGTGCAGACATCTAAATTATAGATTCTCTATAATGTTGCTATCTATAAATAAACTGGGTTTATGACTGTACCATTCATGGTTTTACTGTTCAGAATTGGTCTCTTGAAGGAGTGAGGTCTTTTAAAATTATGGTCTATTGTTAACAGTGTTTTCTTATTATTTTTAAATTTAGTACATTAAAAATTCTTTAGCAAGGCTAGTGGTTAAAGAGATTATGCTAATAATTATAATCATCTGTGCCTTAGAGACTTTGTCTGTGCTATCCAGGACACTGTTCTTCATGTACTGGAAGGTGTGAGACCATTCTTCATTTATCCCAGATCTGCCACTGTCTTATTTTCATGTGTTAGGTTCACACAGGTCTTGTTTTTGGTTGCAAATGTCAAACAGTTTGTCTGACTATAGTTTATAGTTGCATTTAACATTCTCATCCGTTAGGATATGCACCTCATTTGCTCTTCATAGCAGAATTTATTTCCTACTCAGCTTGTTTTGATTGTTCTTTGTCCTCTGAATTGATAGCAGCTATGAACTGTTTGTAATCAAGAGGACAAACTCTTCAGTTGCATAGTTATCAGTATCATTAATGTATAACCTTTGTCCCTTTAGCCTTAACAACAAAAGAAGTATGTTAATTGGTTGGAAAAACTGCACTTTCAACCATGGATATTTACTTGGAATGGAGAGTCATTTGTAAAGTTCAGAGATTGATTGATATATAGTTCACTCATTTGCATTGATTTGTAACAATTTAATTCCATAAAAGGATTGAAGGTGGCTATAGCACCATTACTGTTGTCCATTGAAATGGGGTGCACTATGTGAAGTTGATATTTGATTCTGATAATTGTCTTTATGCATATTTAGTGGTGCACTTCATCCAATGAGTCAGTTGAGCATATAATGCCCAATTTGCTTGTTTTTTATGCAGTCTAGCCTGACTGACTATTTCTTTGTAGTTTTTTATTTCCACTTTCTGCTGTGTATGCATGTTTATGTTAATTCATATATTGCTTTGAAATTACCAGTCATGTGGTTTTTTCAGTCTTTATTCTCAAGGCTTGTTTGTGTTGCTTGTTCTGTACCAATTGCCCAATACTTACCATTCTCCAGGAACCCAGGAGTTTTCATTTTATTTGACCATTTTGTTTCATGTGTTAAGTCATTTTACTATATTAACTTTTTTTGTTCTTCACATTTCCACTTTAAGGGGTTTTAGTCTGTTTTTACCTTTTTTATGACTCACTTAAAATTGGGATCATTGTTTTAGAAATACTCCTTTCAGTTTGTGTCGGAGTGATATTCTACATTGTGTTAATGATATTTTAATAAAAAACATAATTAATAGGTAATTACTAAATTAACATGACATGTTCTAACAAATAAGAAATTAAGCCTTATTGTATTTTGTTTCAATTATATTTCAGAGTGTTTGGAATCCGTTTGGGAACAGTGATATATGCATCACTGGTAGTTGTTGGACAAATAATATTTGCCCTTGGAGGATTTTTTAATGCATTCTGGTTGATGGTGGTAGGGCGCTTTGTCTTTGGGTGAGTAAAGATGTGATTTTTTTCTTGGAGAGGGGACATTAATTAAACATTTACTGTAGTAATTGTACAAAGACAGGTGGAAAAATACTTTATCAGACCAAGGTTGTGGTAGGAGAACACCAAGTATTTCTCTCGAAGAGGAGACGATAATAGATTCATATTTTAAAGCAGGAGTTATTAACATTTTTGCTGCCTGGAGCCAAAATTACATCATAAATTATCAGTTACAGCCATCCATTTGTCTCCATTATCACCTTGGTGGGCTTTGAGTTGTCAGCTGTTGCATATTTTTAAAGAGTTCTTTAATTCTTTGCTGTATAAAGTTGTTTTGGAGTGACGTTTACTTTACTTTGTTCATTGGTGGGATGGCTTTTTAAATATGATTTTGTGTGTGCAGGTAATTAAAAAACAGCTGCAGTGTAGTTACTGAAATTAGCATAATACCAGTACAGAACTTGCATATGCATCATTTTAACATAACTCTCCTGTTTTTCAGTATGTTTGGCCCAGTATTGTTTAGGCTGTTCAGTGTATTTAGACTTGTTTTTGGCTTTTTCTTCAGCTCATGCTTACTGTTAAAACACTATTGTAACACTTTGTGACAGTTGTCCTCTGAATTATGAGCTTCAACTTGTCATGTACCTTCTTACTGCAGTGGGTACTCTTTATTGCCACACTCTGTTTTTGATAATACTGAAGGATTGATCCTTCATGGTAATGCTCATAATCTTCTGGTGAACACCAGAAGATTATGAGCATTACTTTTTCTGATGTTGACTGAGATTTGTGCTTCTTTTGAAAGGTGTTTTCTTTCCATATTGTGGTGTTTGCTAACTCATAATGGTGGATCCATGTTTTGTCGCCAGTGGCAATTTGATGTATGAAGGTGTCACCTTCCATGCGATATTAGCTGAAAGGTAGTTACAGATGTCCAAACAGTTAATCCTGTGCTGTTCCATATGTTGTTTGGGAACCCATCTTATTCACCAATCTTGAAGGTTGTCGTGGATGATTACGATTTTGTAGGCAGAATCATGACTGATTGGAAGTTGGTTTGCCACCCATCTTCATTGGAGAATCAGTATGGAAATTTGGTCAATATTACCTTCAGTCAAGTGGACAGACATTCTTATTATTTATTAGTGACACCTGTTTTGCCACTTTTGAACATGTTAGGCTATGCTGTAGCATAACATTTTCACCACAGTGTGCTGATAGTCTGTGATGAATTTCTGCACCTCCGAAACCTTCATTCCACAAAACTTGATCACTGCATGCTGATCTTACTTAGTGCATGTGGTAAGCAGGGCAACCATGATGACAAAAGTGGCACAAGACAGCTGAATAGTTGGATTGTGCATGCATTGAGCATTGAAGCAAATTGGAGGAAAAATGAACACTTTTTGGGTACTTTTTGATGTACTTTGATATTTCATAGACAGTAATATCTTATATGTGGTATTAAAAAAAACATTTATTATTGTACGTAGCTTCCTGTAGATAATAATATTTTAATATTTTGGGGTGATAAAGTGAACTAACTTCAAAAATGTAATTGCACAAAAAATATGGCTTAGTGGACTTTGAAGTATCAAGTTGTTCATGCAATTCCCAGTGCCAGTTGAAATTGAAGCTGGTGCCAAAATTTGTATTGATGACAGTAGTTCACAGTTCCTGGGGTAAGTAGTTTATTCTTTCATTGCATTCTTGTCTACCTGTCATGTGAAATACGCTGCAGTGCCACTATTACAATTATAAGAATTTGTATTTTACTTTAAGGTATCTCCTTGAAATGTGGACTAAATCTGTGTTTACAATTTAATACAATAAGTAAATCTTCTGTTGGACTTTACCAGTTACCTGAGTAGATTTTAATTAAAATCATAGTGTTTCACAAGTAGAACCAGATCTAAAAAATCATAGTTTTAATTAAAACACTCTTAGATTAAGTCCAATAGAACAATTAATTATACACATTGTGTAACTCCATTCTTATCAAGATTTTTTTATTACATCCTGTGTTTACTTCATGTATACAACAATATGTATTCTTTGATTCATCCAGGATTTTCTTGTAAAATTTCAGTGTTTCATTTAGTTTATGTTTCTCTTTTCAGTTGATTGTGACCATTTATTACTAGTTTCCTAATGTTGAGCTGTTATAACAGGTGGAAATATTAGTCTGTAGCCAAACACTACTTGACATGCTGATGTGTACAGGATATGAACACTTACTTGTGTAGTAGGTTATTCATAAACACATAAAATATAAATAGAAAGCTATTTTAGTACTAAACACTATACTATGAGGGTACGTAATGGACTTAAAAATAGAACTCCACTCATCCTTAGTCTGAGCATTAGCTGCCTTCACTGTCTTTGTGAGAAACTTGATGTCAGGGCGTGAACCCACGAAGAACAGTGATAGAAGTTCACATTGGTCTGAATGATATATTCTGCTTGACCATATTTTTCCATTGATTAACCTTAGTTGACTGTGTGTCGCGGTTTATGTGAAGTCCAGCTGATTGTGCACTTCAATGCAGTAGCATACTACTAAACTATTGACCCTAGAGTTTATAAAGTCCAGCTGGCAGCCTTGTACTGTGGACATTTAAATCCCCTATTCCTGGTTGATAAAGGTTAATATTTCATATGAACATAATAAATTTGCCATATAGTCTTCCTGTAAATATAGGTTTTCAGTTCCTTGTTTGGTTGGCATCTTTCAGCAGTTGAAATAATGTAGTAGAATTGATATGTGTAGAGGTGTGAAGATATTTTACCCACGGTTGTGCATTCATTAAATTTCTTATCCAAGGGCATTCCACAGACTTTTGTCCACAAGTCATTTAAAAGGGAGGTGGTGGAGGAGCTCATTTCACTGAACAGATTTTTGCATATATGTTGTTATGATATACCCTGTCTATTTCTATGTTATTATTTGCGTTCCTGATGTTGCAAATTTTGTCTAAATACATACTGATGATTTTTTATTTCCATTGCTGAGATTTCATGGTAGCAAGTATAAGAAATTGACTGGTATTTCAGAGGTGGTTGTTGCCTCTGTGAGATTGTTCCATAAAACAGCAATTTTTTTTATTTCTTGAACAGTCACCATAGGTTCTTCTGAGTAGTTAGTATGTTAGTATATTATAGGCATTTGAATCTTATTTTGTTTGAATTTTATGCAATGAAGATAAAACTGTGGAGCCATATTCATAAATAATAACATTTTCATTCTTTTTATGACCTTGTATTAGTAAGAATTGAAAAGACTCGCTTGGAATGAAACTAGGAGTTAATAAGAAAATGTAGGTATAATACCACACCGTGAACAGTATATACTCAGACCCATATTTCTTCATCCTTAGTATAAGGTATTCCATCATTTAAGATTGTATTTCATATGTCCAAGCTAAATAATTTCAATAATAAATTTACTCATTGGTGTTCAAAACTACAATTGCCCTGATGACATTGGATGAAGATTTCATTAATAACTATCTTTGTAACTGGACACAATATTTCCCTCTAAAATTACATTTGTATTTTGATCATTTGATTGTGTTTCCATTCACAGGAAAGAAAACTAGCTGAAATGGAACAAGAAAATTTCTGGAAAGAACTTATGACACATACTTTCTACTTTCCTTTAAATGAATGCTTCCATCTGTATAGAGATGGTAACGCAACTTATAAATTAATAACTTTGTTACTAACTTCATGCTATAGGGTCTTTTTGAGCAGTTGCCTGTTACTTCCCTGTTTTTTTTATAAACTGTGTGTTCATAAACATACTTGTAGCATGAGCAACATGCCATTGGAACACAATGGTCCTATGTTGTCAGACACAGCACAATGTCTGCATTAATATACCATCAACTTCATTACAAAAACAGTGCTGGTGGTATCATAGTTGAATAACATCTACACAACATATTTTGGCTAGATGAACCATCTTCAGGTGTTAAAATATAAACTTAAAAGTGAGATTGTTTAGTTTATTACATTAAGCACCATCATCTAGCTGATTTTAGAAGTTGATGGTATATTACGAGGGTGAGTCAAATGAAAACCGTAAAACTGAGATGAAAATTCGAAATATCGTGCCATTGTCCTATAAGTTGACAGACATATTACCAATGCTATAAAGAGTATCCTATAGGTGGCAGTATAATGCAGACAAACATAATGCCATCACAGTGCCAGTTTGAAGATGGCACGAAAGAAGAACAACGTTCTGTAATACGTTTTTTTATCATTGAAGGTGTGAAACCGATTGAAGTTCATCGACGGATGAAGGTTCAGTATGGTGATGCATGCTTGTCACAGCAGCAAGTGTACGAGTGGAGTAGGAAATTCAGAAATGGTGTGACGTCTGAGGCAGACGCTCCTCGCCTGGGTCAGGCGCACAGAGTTGTGACCCCTGAGTCTATTGCAGCAGTTGAAGCCCTAGTGATGGAGAATCGCCGAGTGTTGATGGATGAAATAGCCAAAATTCTGAACATGAGTCACGAATCAGCACACCATGTCATTCATGATGTGCTCCAGTTTCACAAAGTGTCTGCAAGGTGGGTGCCACGGTAGCTGACCCCAGAATTGCACCAACGACGTATTGACGCCTGTGAAGAACTTCTACGGCGCCTTGAAGCAGAAGTTGATGGCTTCCTTTCGAGAATTGTTACTGGTGATGAAACTTGGGTGCACTACCACCAACCGGGAAAAAAGAGAACGCGCAAGGAATGGCATCATTCCTCATCACCAAAACTTAAGAAGTTCCGGACGCAGCCATCTGCAAGGAAGATTATGCTGACTCTCTTTTGGGACGAACGAGGCGTACTCTCGGAGCACTACACGCCTCGGGGGAACACTATCACCAGTGCCTCATATTCAGATCTCTTGAAGAATCATCTTCGACCTGCAGTCAGATCAAAGCGATGTGGACTTTTGACTAGAGGTGTCCTTCTGCAACATGACAATGCTCGGCCCCACACTGCCGGTGCAACAGTTACAACAATCCAAGACTTGCACTTTGAGTGTCTTCCACATCCGCCATACTCACTAGACCTAGCCCCAAGTGATTACCACATGTTTGGGCCACTCAAAGAGGCGATGGGAGGAAAGAAGTTCCGTTCTGATGAAGAGGTACAGCAGGCGGTGCATGAGTGGTTGCGCAGACAACCACAAGAATTTTTTTCTAGAGGAATCCATACACTTCGTAAACGCTGGAGGGCCTGTATTGAACGAAATGGAGACTATGTAGAAAAATGATATAGTTGTGTACTGCTTTCATTTCAATAAATGAAATTTAATTTTTTTTTTGCTGTTTTCATTTGACTCACCATCGTAATACAGACATGTTGTGTTGCATGTTTGAAAACATACTACCATTGTGTTTAAGTGCTTCTGGAAGATGCTTTCTTATAATATGCCACTTAAAGCCATCACTTCCTTGTAACTTTTAAATGATGATCATCAGTAATGCTGACGTGGTGGATCAACACTTCCATTGTTCACTGTAGGATCTTGAAGTTTTGGAGAATATGCAGTATTTATTGTGGGAAGTCTGTAACAAAATGGGAAGTAGTAACATGTCTTATCAACTGCACAAAATGGCAAATGACTTACTAACCAACTCCATCATACAGGAATTTTGTAGAAGAGTTAATAATTATTAGATGGATTAACAAAGTCACTGCTTTTGTGGAACCTTGTAGTTTATCATTACACTTGCAAAAGCCTGCCATTGGACCATATCTTGAGCCAGTGCCATGTAAAAAAATTCTCTCTGTAGTTAACATCAATTTTAATATTATCCTCTTATCTATGCCTAGGTCTCCAAAGTTGTCTCTTCCTACAGGTTTTCCAAAAACAGTTTTTTTATCATGATGTTTGCAATAAATATTTTAGTTTTATGGTTGGAATGGTAATCATCGTAACTTACCATGTAAAATTTATTATGATGTATAATAGTATTAGCCTGTGAGCTGGATTAGCTGTCAGCATAGTAACTGGCTACGGACTGGGTGACCAAGGTTTGATCCGTGGCTAGGGCATAGGATTTTTCCTCTAGCCTCTGTATCCAGACTGGCTCTGGGGCTCACCCAGCCTCCTTTCCATTGGGCACCGGTGTCCTTTCCCAGGGGTAAAGCACAGCCAGGACAGGACACTGACCGCTCACTCCTATATAGTGCTGAGGTTAAGAACGAGTGGGAGCTATACCTCCTCTCCTCTCCCCTCCCCTCAAAATGCCTATATGGCAAGAACTGGGACAGCTTTTCTTTTTTAAAAAATAGTATTAACCTAACTAATTCCATGGAGTAGAATTCTTGGGAAGCTAATTGTTGCTCATCTGGTTAAGACATTCCCTGTCTTAATGTAACCTGGAGTTATTGTGTTCATAAGAGCCTGCCACAGTTAATCTTCAGAATCCTAAAGTACAGTGCCCTAATGAGAAGGACTTTTAGCACTAGCTTTAAAAAATTAATATCACTCACTGTGAGTGTGTTTATGTGGTAAGACAGTGGTGGTGTAAAGTGAAACTTGTTAATGGACGCTGGTGTACTTACCATACCCCTGGATATAAGTTATTCATTGATCTTTGTAGTTGATTGAATATCATATGCATCTGTCCTAGCTATGTATAGAAATTCTATATATCCAGTATGTTTATAATACATTTTATTACATGTAGATATCATGACTATACTTGTTGGCAGGATCGGTGGTGAATCATTGGCAGTGGCACAGAATAATTATGCTGTGCTCTGGTTTAAGGGCAAGGAACTAAATATGGTATTTGGTCTTCAGTTGAGCTTTGCTCGGGTTGGTTCAACAGTCAACTTTAATGTGATGGAGCCTCTGTACACGTGGGTCAGCAAGTACTACTCAGGGTACATGTGTATCGGAGTTGTGCTCTTCATTGGTAAGTTACTGATAAACTTTACTGATTGGGTCATATTATCTTCTGCCTTGTTTATTTTTAGCTGTGACATTTATAACAAGGAAGTAGTATATATTTGTGAAAATGTTTCCTGTTGTGGAAAAGAAAAAAAGTTCTAACTCAGTACATCAGCTTTTCTTAAAATGTTTCAGTCTGTATGATGAATTAATAATTATACAGTTTACTGATCCATTTCTGTTCATCTTTTCGATTAGTACATGTTCTAACCACAAGCATTGTCAGATAAAGCCTCTAAGTTTCACGTGTGTGCAGTGTTTGTAATTATGTGCATACAAAAATATTTTCATAGAGAATTTGTAGGTCAGTTTTATCTATATACAATTTTTCATATCCAGATTTAGTTACTTATTAGTTATTGCTATCAGATTGAAAGCTAAATGTAGAGTTTGTACAGCAGCCATGTTTTTTTTTTTACAGTCTATGAAAGAAAAACCTTTGCTAAAGTTATTTTTAAAATTTGAATTGCCCTTTGTTGAGTGACTTTAATGTGAGTTCTACCTCAAATGTTCACAAAGCTGCTATGTTTATATTATTGATGATAGGAAATTAGACAATGTTAACATACACAAACACTTATGCTGATTCCCACTTAAATAAATATGAACCACGATAACCCTAGCAACCATGTATGTACTGTTTTGACGTCATGCAGAGTGGCACAACCTCCACATTAAATTTCATCAAAATCTTCACTCACACAGAGACCTTCCAAGGGACCTAATGCAATAACACAGCAGACATCTGACCATAACAGAAGTCCATACCAATGATAAAGGTGTGGTGAAATGAAATGGCTTGCTAGTAAATTACATGAACTCTTCTAGAATTTATTGCTTCAGCAGAACCCAAAATTATGAAAGAAAGTTTCTAATAAAAGTATTTAATTGCATAGAGTCCCTAAATGAAGTACATAAACATATGTCTTTGTATAATGTTGTAATCAGCCTACAGAAAAGCAAAGAAAATTATATTAAGATGTTTCTATGCCATTTATCAGTGTGAAATCAGTAGTTTAATTGTGCCCTTACAGGTTAAGTTATTAAAATACTTTACAGCCTTGCACTCAATATTTATTTGAAAGTTACAGGATGTAACCAAAAATAAGGAGGTAATTCTCATCTACATGTGTTAACTCCTGGTAGTTAAGGGAGGCTGAGCAAAAATATTTACAGAAGAAAGGAAATGGGCCCTTTTGAAAAGAAAATTTATGACTTGAGTCCTGTTGTTCAAATTTTTACCTTTAATGTCATGTTCCAACTGAAATATGAAAATCCATTCAGAATCCAGAATTGTGACTATGTGAATTCAGCAGTCTGGAACCTTCCATAACCTCCTTACAGATTATGTGATATGCCAAGCACTCTGATTGCAATATCTCACTTGGTAGCATGTTTGCCTATGGTGTGGGCAACCCAGGTTTATGTATGATTTGAGGTTTTCACAGCAGTGAGTATGAAGATTTTTGTCTTCTGGGTTGTTGTGCTGTGTGGTCTGACGGAGTCAGTATGACCTCTGAAACGCTGGTAAACATCTACCAGACTACACCGCGCAACAACCCAGAAGACAGAAATCTTCAACCCAGGTTTAATTTCCAAATATGTTTTATCATCATGTATGAATTGCTTTGAAGGCTCTAAACTTACATTAATCATGAAAGTCCATTTATGCTTTCCTTCCATTGACTAATTGTATGAACCCCAAAGGATTCTTCTTGTTCTTTAGAATCACCATAATTTAAATATACATTCTGCAATATGCATCTGATCATAGCGATCCTTTCTAACCCTAATGTTTCCACTAGTGTCAACACATAATATTTTGCCAGGAAGTCAGAGGAGGGTTTCACTGCCATACTCCAAAACTAGAGCCAACTAGAGTGTATCAGTCAACCAGATTCCCTTGTTAGTACTGTATGGTCCAGTGATATTTCAAAGCCTGAGTTCCTGTTCAGTATTTGTGTGGCATTGGACTGCAAAGGAGTAAGAAGAACAAAATTTATATTTACTTTTATGTTTACTTCCTTTTATGCAAATAACATTTATGTTGTGTTGCAGCATCAGCTACATGTTTCATGTCACTCTTATGTGCTCTGTTACTTGCATACATGGACAAGAGAGCTGAAAGGATCCTCAAAAAGAAAACTGCTCAGGAGGGAGAAGTAGTGCGTCTCACAGATGTCAAGGATTTTCCGGCCATTTTCTGGCTGATATCAGTTGTCTGTGTTGCATACTATGTGGCTGTGTTCCCGTTTATTGCCCTTGGAAAGTAAGAAATTTTAATTTTGTACTTCCTACCACTTCTGAACTTGAGCAAATAAAGTGATAATCTACTGACTGGGTAGCTAGGGTTTGATTTACATTTGGGACTTAGCTTTTTATCCTCACATTTACTTCCGTAATAGCTCTGAGGGCCATCTAGACTTCTAACCAGTGAATCCTGAGGCTTTTTCTATATGGCAATATGAGCAGTGCATGAAGTTGATCACTCATCTCTGTTAAGTTCTATGATTAAGATTGCATGAAGCTTTACCTTTGTACTCCCATATGCTTTGTGTTATGATATTTAGGCATAGGAATAAGTTCACCTCTCCTTTGCCATGAATCAGATGCTTCTGCATTTCATTCAGGAGGTCCCAGTTTTAAATCTTGGCCCAGAGGTCTGACTGAATAGTTTATGGTTTTCCTCAGTCTTGCTGTTCAAATGCTGGGGTAGTGCCTTAAATTAGTCTGTAATTGCTTTCTCCCACATCCTCTTCAACTCTTTATTTTTAATCATCCTCTCACTGTTTGCTATGAAATTTGAGCTGTTCACAGCATTGTTAAATAAACTACAAATTTAATGATGCTGTCAGTTGCTGAAACTGTAAAGATTGCAGTGTTTAAAGTAGTCTAAATACTAATGGTTACATATAACTTATACTTTATTGTATGTTATTTGCAGGGTGTTTTTTGAGCGCAAGTTTGAATTCACACCTGACAATGCAAACACAGTGAACAGTATTGTATATATACGTAATATCAGCTGTGGCATCACCTCTCCTTGGTCTTCTGGTGGATAAAGTTGGCAAGAATGTACTCTGGGTATGTTTATCAGTTCTGGTGTCCATTGGCTGCCATGCACTTCTTGCCTTCACTTTCATCAATCCATATATTGCAATGGTAAGAATAATATCTTTATTATTGTTATTGACTTAGCAATAAAACTGGAATTTTGCAGTATTTATGAATCTAGGAATAGAGTTCAGAACAGAGATTTCAGTTCAGAAATTTCTGATTGACATGGTTTATATTTATTTCACATTAAGGATTATTTGAACGTGATAAATACAATATCCATGCAGATGGAACATTTACTTCTATGTTCCAGTGGATAGGAAAACTTTTTATGTTCTGATAGATGTATATGTGGATATCCTTATATGTGACCCATTGTTCATGTGTTGCCACAAGTCGTAGCTCAAAGGCCATTGATCCCAGGTCAAAGGTTGGCTGCTTTTGTCAATGTCCCTTCTGTCATGATGGAGGGTTAGTTGTGCAGGAGGGATTATTGATTCAGAATAATCAAATTTAGACTATTGTCTTATCTAGTGTACCTATTACAACAAAGTAACCATTAACAAATAAGTGGCATTTTCATCGTCTGGAATGCAGATGATTATATAGTCTTCTTAAAGCTGTCCCACTATATGCCATGTAGGCATTTGGGGGGAGAGAAGGTATAGCTCCTACTCATTCTTGACCTCAGCACTAGATGGGGTGAGTGGTCAGCATCACACCCTGGCCATACTTTACCCCCAGGAAAGGACCCTGGTACCCACTGGATAGGAGGCTAGGTGGGCCTCAGAACTGGTCTGGACATGCTAGAGGAAAAATCATCTGTCCCAGTCGGGGATTGACCCCAGGTCGATGCTATACAATTTATTACCATATGTTTTGTTTTGTTTATAGTGTATCTTGGGTGTGGCGTATTCAATGCTTGCTAGTGCTCTGTGGCCAATGGTTGCTCTTGTAATTCCTGAATATCAACTGGGAACAGCATATGGCATGTAAGTAGTATGCAGAAGTTGTGGTTTATAGATAATTTAATTTCTGGTACTAAAAGACATCTAATTCATTTAATAATTCCAACTTCAGTTTTAAAGCATTAAAATTTAATGCTCCCCCTTCCCCCTCCTACATAGAATGAAACTTTATTCATTATGATGTTTCCTTCCCAGTCACTGTACTTTTCTACCTGCCTGTGTGTCACCCTGTTTTTAACCTTATTTTCCTGCCAGAGTGCACCCTGGTCCTTTCCAGCTTTCCTGTGTTGTGCAGGGGCTCGTGAGAGGATTCTCTGCAGTATCTGCTCCATTTTCGGACCAAAATTGCTTTGGTGGGGGGGTCTGATTTTTAAAACAGCAGATAACTGACATGGGTTCCTGGGATGATTTGTGATTTATAGACTTATTGGTGTGCTGTTTGTGCATGCATGTGTGTTAATAATAATAAATAAGGTTGTGGGCCAGTGTGTTCCAGCATAAAGAGTGTTTGAATTAATTGGCTTCAAGATGCAGAAATTTGAATGGTGTGTGAAGGGTTAATATCTAAACACTTTTTGGAACTGAAATTTAAACTAAAGGTTTCATGTATGTTAATGTTTTCTGACATACGATAGGCTCTAATTATAGTTTATCCCCACAAAATGAATTTAATTTGTTCATCAAAACCTTCCTTATTGTGAAATTGGAGAAATACTAGATGAAGGTCTAATTTGTTCTAAGAATATATAGTAAGTTAACCTTAAGTTGACCTTAAAAAATGTGGTAATTTTTGACAATTAAATATTATAAGAACATGGTAAATTGTTACAATTAACACACATAGTAAAGAATCTGTAAATAAAGCAGACAAATATTACAGTAGAATAATGCTTACCTTAGCTTAACACAGTAAGTAATGGAAATTGAGCACCAAACAATCATAAATGGGTGTTTTTGATTGGCTGAAGCTTGCAGAGTTCACTTAGAAGTGTTCTCTTTGGCTGATATTGACAACCACTTGACTTTGTAAGCAGTATTAATTTTAGAGGCTTGTTATAATAAATGACAGTAAGCGTGTTTAGGCAATAACACTTGCTGTTCCAGAGCTGCCTCTGAACACCACTTCAATAAGAAAATGTCTTAAGAGAGTCTGACTGTAATTGATTCCACATATTTATTATATATTAATAAAGCAGTTTAATCCCCTTGTCATAGTTCCATTTTAACTCATCTTCCAGGTGAAGTCTTATGATACTGAACTAGCAGTGCAAGATTTGTTTTGCTGCCACTTACATTTTCTTATTCATGTGTGAAAATGTTTATCAGTATGATGTTAGTATTGTTTGCATCATTTAACTTGGCATCTGGCAGAAGGGTGGGAAGGAGGCTAGCATGACATGCTATGTGCTTGCTGTGCTTTGTGCGGGCTTCAGAGTGACACTTCTGTGTCGTACACGTAGTGTTTGAGGTTTTGCACATGCAACAGTTGAGGAAACATCACGATGTAGAATGTTTTTTGACTGGTTAATACCTACATTAGTCCCGCGCCGTAGCCGCACGGTCTGAAACATCATGCTTCGGACCGGCGATACAGTTGAATTTGAATTGGATGATCGTTCACCTCTGGTTACGCATGTGAACATGAGGCCAGCAGTCAAGGTAGTCAGCTTTGGCTCTCTGGAGCTGTTACGCCACGGATTTAATTTAATACCTGCATTACTATCACATTGCATGAACCATGCCAAACCTAGCTGAGCTAGAAACATTACCATTTAGTCCAGATGGCAAGTAAAGTGATGTGGACAACATGTATATATGTGAAATTTAGTGATTTTGTTATGTATCTTTTGTTCAACCAGTGCTCAGTCAGTGCAGAACCTTGGTTTAGCTGTGATTACACTTCTAGCTGGCAAGATTGTAGATTCTGGTGGATATCTCTTGCTGGAGCTGTTCTTCTTAGGCTGGCTGTGTTGTATGTATTTTACTAAAATTTACTGATTAGGCAGTTAGACCATTAGTTGTCCAACTTACAGTTGAATTTGAATTCAGGAAAAGTTATGTGCAGCAGGAAAGAGGGGACCCACATATTTGGATTTCTTAGAAAAATAAAACATTCTAATTTTTAAAATTAAATTTCTTTTTACGTATGATTTCATGGTAATTTCGTGTGAGACAGCAAAATAATGAAAAGTAATAATAAACAAGCAAATTGAGTTGTTAGCGTTTGAAACATAACTTTCCATAGTCATCTCGTAATTATATTGGTACGCCCCAAATATAGTCGGTTTATTCATAATCTTTTGTCATATATTTATTTATTTATTTATTTCCCCATCTGTGCTGAATTATTTACCATAGCAATGTAACCTCAAGCCATTATATGTAATATTTTCATTTGAAATGTTGACACTCTAAGGTAGGCCGCACACCGGCATGCATCAAGACATGTAACAGTCAAGACACAATGTCTGCGACATGACGCAAAGAAAGGAGCACAGTTGAAATGAATGAGATTATGAAAACCACCATACACTGGTCTGAGTCATGATGCTGACGTCAGCTTCATGCTGCAGACACGTGCAGCAAGACTCGGCATGTTCCTTTTCTGTGCGTCAGGATTGAGACGTCAGTACTCAAGTAACAGCACCAATGTACGTTATCGACATGAGTGAAAAGCAAACAAATATTAAGATAGTGCAGATGGTTGAGAAATTCCCGGTAATATACGATTATCAACTAGAGAAGATGTGATAAGACGCAGACACGTGCTGCTTCGGTGTGCGGACTCGAGTCTGAATCACGAATGAAGCAAGAAAGCGTCTTTTGTCTCATGTCTTGATGCTTGTCTTGACGCAGTTGGTGTGCGGCCGCCCTAAGTGCTACACTACAAAACAGCCCATTAGACCATCATGTGTATGTAGTATTGTTATAATTGTCACATCACATTTCAAATTCTTTGTTGGCTGTAATCTTAAATCCACAAATATTTTGAGCTTTCATCATATTGCCAGTTATTATGGGGAAAATGATTTGCCTCTTGGAAAGTGGCAGCAGCAGAGATATGAGGATATATTAAAATGGAGCTTTAGGAAGTAGGTTTTAGTAATGTGTACAGATATAACTGTATGAATCACATTCAGCGGTGATATTTTATGTTAGCAGTATTGTGTTTTAACAGGACAGGGAGAAAGAATTGAATGAGTTGGTTTTTTGGGATAAAATACCATATCTTCTGTATATATGAGTAAAAAAGTTGTTATAGGACCTTGAAATTGTGTATTTAGATTTTATGGTGTAATTTTCCAGGTGTGTCTCAAATTTTCATTAATATTGATTATAGCAGTTTCATATAAATATTTGAACTTTTTAGGAATTTGTTGTGGGATGTCACTGCCTGTGTTGTCACTATTATTAGTTCATGCCTTTTTCTGTATGGAAAATGTACTATTGTTTGAGCTTAGTGTTGCATGACATGGCATTTCAGCAGATAAATGAAATATAAAATTTATTGATTGTTGTTCTGTATATTTTAATGAATTTAATTCTTTACTTTTCTTATAAATCTCTTTCAGTGGCTCTTGTTATATCTGTTGTCATTTGGATCCTTGATTCAAGTTCTTCAGGCATACTGAATATGACTCCCAGACAACGGGAAGTATTTGAAAGAAATCGTTTGTAAGTATGAATGCTTTGCTGATTACCTTTAATATTTAAATATTTTATTCAAGGAAGTAAAACCACCCATCATTCTTAGTTGAGAGTCACAGTAATCAGATACCTGTGATTGCTAGCATTTCCTCATTCAGAAAGTTTACAAATGGATGGACTATTTGGTGTGACTGTTCTTATAGTCACTTTGATGGTTGGGAGCTGGAAGTACTGTGACATTTAAACAGATATTATACTCCTTAAATCTGATGTTGATAACTACTGTTGCCTTGTCAATGTGTTGAATTAGCGTTATATGAAGTTCAAAGCAATACAGTGTTGTCCTTTTGAGATATTTCAATCGTGATTTGGTCAACAGTAATTCTTATGTGTAGCTGTCATTGTCATCTACACAGAAAGTATATATGCAGACTCTGATTTGATTTGTTGCATTGCAGAAATTTTACTCTTCAGATTATTGGATGGAACACTTTGTGTGTTTTAGTGCCCATGATCACAGATCTGTTTATCTTTTATGTTAAACCAAAAGTAGTCCAGTTTTGCCATAGCGGTTCTAGAATTTTGACAGTGGTCTCTGAATCTACGTTTTTAATGAAGTTTTCTCTATTCCAGAGAATTGCTTATAGAAATTGTGAGTTGTTAATCTGTCATTTGTATGCTTTAGACCTCCTCCTCACAATGTCGGTCAGCTTGCTTTGGGCTACAAGTGGTATATCATTTGAATTTTAGGCAGTTAAATCATCATCAGCATGAAAAGTCTTCCAATTTTCAGATTTGACATTCTTATGATGGTGAAGATGTTGGTCTTCTGTGATGTAGTTGGATACCAGCATTATGGAGGAACATCCAGCTTCTTTCTTCAGGAATTTAAGTCCTGAAAATGTTTATATGTTACCATGTTATTTGTTGCTGCTAAGGAATATTAATTTATAGTTTAGATGCGTCATGTTTGTGTTTTCAATTGATATATATATTTATTCTTCAAGTCTATACACAAACCATTTTAATATTGATGTTTAAAATTAAAATTGATATAAATAATTCGCGCTATTCATCGTTGTTTTTCTTTCAATGGCTAATAACCAAAAATACAGCTGAAACATCATAAATTGCAATAGAGCTTGCAAAGTATTTGTCTGAGTAATAAATACACTGCAGGTTTTTTATACTGGATCATGTTTAACATTTCTACACATTTGTTTAATTCCCACAGTGAGCTTTTACTTGTAGCTTCACAATGATGAAGCAGGAAAGTCAAATGTTGTTGGGTCTGTCATCATTAATCATTCGCCAAAATGTCATTCAGTATAATATCTGATGCACTCTGCTAGTGGAACCTTTCTTCAGAATGTCCTTTCCTCTCAATGGCACTTGTGGAATGCTACCAGAGTATAGTCAAAACCACTTACTGGACTGTATATGTTATGTAACTATATGGAAGTTTTGAGATAATTTTAAAGAATTTGATTTGAAATATTTGAATCCATTTTATATAGGTAAATATTATGCAAATGGATGAAATATTGTACAAACTGAAAATTAGTAATACAAAATTGATTCAGTGTGTGCTGGCTGCCTCTTTCAATGTATATGTTTTCTTTATACTTGTATTGATCATGGACCTTTTGTAGTTATTAACATAAATCTTGAATCCATGTTTCTTAGGCAGAAAAAAAAATTAAAATTTGATGTGGTATTGGGTAAAAATATAGTGAAGCATTAAAATATGATGTGTGATTTTAGAGCTGCTGATGCCCTAGAACGTGAGAAACTACTTGCATCAGGATCCATGTCGGACATCACGCCTCATGACTTGCTTCAGCCTCACTCAGACTTCCATATCCGCAATCGTTACCTTTCTCGAATTGGAGCACCGGTAAGACTGCTGTTTAAACCACTCATAAATCAGAAAGTACAAATTAGCATTTGATACTTACATGGATTTTAAATACAATTACATTTTCAAGTTCTTTACTGTTATGCTTTTGTTTCATACTAATTGCATCAAAATTACATTGAAGTCTCAGACCTCTATTAAAGACCCTTGTCATCTATTGTCTTGGACCAAAAATTGCCATGTTTCAGTTGCTTTGTTATGTCATGTGGCATTCCCATTCCGTGAGGTTGTACTGTTCTACAACGGTTGATTTTCTGTTTAGTCCGTCACGTAAATCAGGAGAGGAAAAGAAGTCTGTGTACAGTTTGCGTCTTTGTCTCTCTCTCTCTCTCTCTCTCTCTCTCTTGTTTTTGTTTTTTAAGCACTTTGCTGTAGTGTGTTGTCATATTTGTAGTTGCTGGTATTATGTCCTACTCCACAGAATTCCATGCTGTATGTGTAACCAGTCATATTATACACTTTGTAAATTCTGATTCTGAAATGTTTGTGTTTTGTCTGTAATTCATCTTACCTTTGAAAGGTACTAGACTTAATTCACAGCCAGATGCTTAGAACGAATGTAATACTCTGAATAGGTTTCATTATAGAAGTCAAAAACATTTTTCAGTTTACTTCATAGGCCGTAACTTGGATCTCTTATATCAGCAGCAGTCATTGTTTGAAAAGTGTAGGAATATAAAAAAATGCTGTGTTCAGTAGAGTCCTTGTTGATATGGAATGCCACATTTTGTCTTTGCCACGTGTGTCACCAAAGAACTGATGGACACCATTGTTTGGTCGCTCTGATATTGGTAATGGTGGCCGGTTACGTGTTAATTCCACCTCACGACTTTGATGCAATTGTAGTTGTTGACTTGCATGTGTGGTCTGCTTACGCTAAAGTACTATTAATACACATGATAAAATTTTATTTTAAAATATATCGAGTGCATAACACCTTGTTGAAATACAGTGAAACCTCGATGCATCGTTTTCGGCGGGGGTG